CTACGCTGGTGCCATGGCGGCACAGGAGCTGCGTTGGTTGACCTTCTTGCTCGCCGACCTTGGTGAGCGGCCGAGCTCTGCACCGACCTTGTTCACTGACAACAAGGCGTCGATTCTCCTTTGTCGAGAGCCGCGACTGGAGAGCAGAGTGAAGCACATTAACGTCAGGTACTTTCTTCTGCGAGAGTTGCAGAGACGTGGACAGGCTCGCTTCGAGTTTGTGGAGTCCGAGGCCAACACTGCAGACATCTTCACCAAGACGCTTCCGCCTTGTGACCACCAGAGGTGTTGTGTGCAGTTAGGCCTTGTTGACACCGTTTCTAGTCGTGTATAGGCTTGAGTCTACTGTTTGCTTTGCTTGTACCCTTGCTATACACACTTGTGAACTCTCGAACTGGCCTTGTGGCCCCTGTTGCTTGTGCTCATAGTGTGTGGTGACTTTGTGATCCACCCTGAGCTTTGTTTCTTTGTGACTGGTCTTGTGACCGTACACTTTTGGTTTTGTTTGACACCCCTCACTTAGGCTATGGGGGTGTGTCAAATGTTGTAGCCTGTAGTGAGGTTTGTCTTAGGGGGTACAGATGTTAGGGTTTGTTATATGTACCCCAACCCACATCAATGAACCAACACTTTCATTCTTGACACCTACACACTCTTGACAACTCCTTGCACCTACACTGAGGTAGTGTCAAGTCACTGTACCTCTAAGTAGATAGCAGCCATGGACGCATAGATGGCATCTTGGAGGTCCACAGGCACCTACGTCGACATAGTTCCCCTTCTTGGGGCGAATGCTGGCATGTGGTTTGTCAAGGTTAAGCGACCGCTTGGAGCGTCGCACACTATGTGGCGAGAGGCTTGTATCAGCGAGAGGGAGTAGACTTCTTCGAGGCCTTTTCCCCTAACCCGAAGATGACCAGTCTTCGGGTACCGCTGCACATCGTGGCACAACGCGACTACGAGCTTCATTCACTGAACTTCTCCACTAAATTCCTCCAAGGCAGTCTGCACAAGCACATTTGGCTTCATCATGCTCATATTTTCAGCATCTACAGTCTACGTCATGTTCCTCTTAGGTGGTACGACATGCTATGCACCATTCTTGCTGCCCTCTGTTCTCTCCGTCTCCTACTGCCCTCATTCCCTCTGGCACGAGGCCGTTCTACATCCTTATCTAGGTCAACGACCTGGTCTTTGCCACTCCAAACAAATTCGCACTGGCCTCAGTGAAGGCCGAGCTGCAAAGGAGGCACATCTTCACTGTCCTAGGTGAGTTGCGCCGCTATCTTGGCTTCCAGATCACCATGGATAAAGCAGCGTGCACCATCATTTTGACACAGCCACACATGGTGCAGCAGATCCTCGACCAGTTCCACCTTTAGTTATCTTCTACACAGCCCACTCCTCTTGCCGTTGACCATAAGTTCTAGGCTCCTATCCTTGACGAGTCTGCTGAACCTAGCGGTCCTTCCATATAGTTGGTGGGGTGCCTCATGTACATGATGACATGCATTCGTCCAGACCTTGTATACCCTTACTTGCTCTGTTGCGGCTGGGAGATACTGACCTGCGCACTGTCCGTCGTTAAGAGGTTACTGGGATATCTGTCGATATAAGCCATGGGGCTTGTGCTTGGAGGACATCAACCAGTCAGACGCACGGGACACACTGGAGTGTTGCTGGCAAACGACGCCGAGACTATCAGGTCTACTGAGGGCTACAGCTTCAGTCTTGGCTCCGGAGCGTCTCGTGGAGGTCGACTCGTTCGTTGTCGGTAGCTTCGTCCAGCTGTGAGGTAGAGATCTTTGTAGATGTTGTGGTGGCACAGCTTCGCTGGCCGACTTTCTTACTTATTGACTTGGGTGAGCCGCCTCTCTCTGCCCCGCTCATGTTCGCTGACAATAAGGTAATGGTCCTCCTATGTCAGAAGCCTAGACTAGAGGGAAAAACGAAGCATGTCCAACTGCAGTACGTTCTACTACGTGAGTTGCAGCAGTGCGGCCAGGCACGCGTGGTACCTTTGGCCTCAGGGGCCGACACCGCTGATAAATTCACCAAGGCACTCAAGCATAGTGATCATCATCGGTTCGCACACAGCTTGGCCTAGTCCCTGCTAGGCCTCAGTTGGTAATTCCTTGATCTCTGCGTTTTATACTCTATGTGATCCGGCATATTTATGTGAACTCATTGACTGCCCTTGTGACCATTTGTCTCAGTGGTTGGAGTAGTAGTGTCACCCTGATTTTGTATCTCATGATTTGTTATTTCTTGCTGACTGGCCTTGTGGCCGTTTGTCTTAGTGGCTGTACTAGTTGAGCCACCTTGTCGTCTAGGGACTGCCCCTTATATAGCCTAGGAGGTGTGTCAACTTATAAATATTGCATGTTTTATAGGTTAGGCTGGGCTAGTCTTTCGAGGGTATGACATTTGTACTTATAAACCCTGTATGCCCTAATTTAGTCATTCGTTCTTTCTAACATACCCCACTGTGGTAGCCTCAGTTGGGGCGAGGCAGGGCGGCGGCAGCAGACTCACCCCCCACCCCGGAGGCGTAGCGTGTGACAGGGAAATCAACGTCGGCGAGGCTGCGGGACGACGGGGCAAGCGGGGTCGTCGGAAGGCCACGACGAGGCCGCGACAATGCCCGCAAATAGCGCTGCATGCTCGCGCACAGTAGCAGCGATCGGCAAGGGCGCCATGGGTATTCTGTTGTCATGTCACGGATAATTCTTAGGTTGTAAGATCTAGGACCTTGGCAAGTGTCAAGAGAGACAGAAGAGGAGCAGGTTCAGTGGAACATATGACAGGCGGAGCAGGGGAGTGTTTGAAAGAGAGCTGAATGACTAGAATGAGAATGTGGGTATACGCAAATATGTACCCTGTATAGTGCACCTTGTCGAATTATACTTGATAGATATGTTAGGCTATAATGAGTTGCATAGCATAGGGTACATCTATTTCTTAGGGATAGAAGCATAATGAAATCAGAGGCGTTGTTGCAGAGGTATTGGGACGGCCGAAAAGATTTCTTGCAATTAAGAACGGGGCTCAAGGTGCACTTGGATGGACAGGCGCTGACTGGCTTCCTGTTTGCGCTGATCAAGAACAGAAAGGCCAAGGCGTGGATCAAGGAGCTGTTGCAAGATGGGGTCAGCCACACGGACGCAAGGGCTATCCTAGAGACAGCGACTCGAGACTTTAGTGAAGCCTTCGATGAAGAACCCACGGTAGTAGATGCAGTGTGGGGGTTGCAGTGGACGTCGAGGAAAGTGCTGGAAGAGACAACTGTCGAGGTGCTGATAAGGGATTGGACGAAAGAAAAGGTGAAAAGGGCTACCAGGGAGCTGGTCAACGACAAGTCACCTGACAGAGATGGTCTGCCCAAGAAACTGTTTCGGTATTAGTGGGAGTTGCTGCAGGGACCGGTGATGAAGATGGTCGGAGAGTTTGTGGCAACAGGAAAGCTGCCGGAGGAGGCGAACGAAGCGGTCACCGTCGTGCTGTACAAGAAGGGTGCAGTGACGGATGTCAAGAACTATGGACCAATAACACTGCTGACGAGCATCTATAAGATACTGGCAAAAGTGGTGGCGTCGCGGATGAAATCCGTTCTTCACCAAGTGATTTCCGGGAGCAGTATGGGTTTTTACCTGGGACGAGGCTTACAGATGCGGTGTCCATGGTTGCGGATCTGATCGATGCAGCAAAAAACGAGAACAACGACTGGTACCTCCTGCTTATCGACTTTGAAAAGGCGTATGACTCGGTGTGAAGGGGTTTCATGTTGGAGACGATATCCAAGCTGGGCTTCCCCTCGCGCTTCGTAAACTGCATAGGTGCCCTACACAGCGATGTACACATACTGCTGCGGGGAGGGGATGGAGCAGCGTGCTGTGGGGGGGCGGCAGCACTCGCGGTGGCGGCTGCT